TCGAATTACCTACTTCACACAACTGAAAACGTAGTTACAAAGTGAAACAATGTGGGATTGAAACTCTAGCTCTTGCTATTTTCGACGCTTTCAAAATAGAATGGAAAGGATTTTTAAGTGTAAAAATAAATACGTACACGTATCAGTAACTTGATTTATATTTCTTATATGTTAACATAATAGAAGAAAACCAAAAGTTCAATTTTTTTACTTGACATGAACAACATGAAACTTAATGGAATTGGAACATAAATATGTTTACAAAAAATAATAAAATCGTTATCTATATATTGGTTAAAAAATATCCGAAAAATTGAAATTTTAAAACTTGAAACGAAGTGAAATTGAAACACTTAACTTAAGGTACAGGATAATTTTAAAGCAACAATTTTTCGATTTTTCAGTGTTGACACAGCATGAAAGAAACTGACAACAAATACAACATTTTAAAACAAAACCATGAATATTATTAAGATGCATGCAGAGCCGAGAAATATATACCAAAAATCTTATTTTGAAACAATCGTCTGTATGTATGTGTATTTATAAAAATTAAAATATTTTTTTTTAATTATTTATTTGTTTAGGTAAAATTATTTAACTAAAAAATTTCTTAATTTCTTTATAAAGAGAGTTTTTTTTTAAATATATAATTTTTTTATAAAAATAATAATAAAGACTTTAATACAGTATGAAAAGTATAAATTTGTTAGTTTTATTCTTCTTCAATATAAATCACTCAACCTCTCGCCACCATGCATTACTGATTTGTTTGCATTGCGCAAAACTACCGCTACACTGTTAGGTAACAATTATACACTGAAAAAAATATTAGCGGCCTTCAACTTGATTTAATTTCTACATATTTTGTTGTTGTAATTAATTTCTATTGTATTTGTTTTAATCTCTATACATCCATTAATCGTTGGTAATACGTTATTTATGTAAATTTATTTATATTTATATAATTTTATAATAATTTGTGTCAAGTAAACTGATATGTTTGCTGATGTTCACAGATACTTTTGTCATCTACTGTATAAGTAAAACTTTTCTAACTCAACAATTGCGTTGTGTTGACTTGATATGTATAGCGATTGAATATGTATATATATTAGTATAATGTTTTGTTAATTTTTATTTGAAAGTTTTCATTTACACGCCTAATATCTTACATTTTACAATAAAAGTTCGAAACTTGCTGCTTTACTTAAATATTGTATATGTATTTGGTTGAACATTTTTTAACGTTTTGAAATAGTTAGCTGAAAAAGTTCGGAAAATAAAGCACACAGGGGAGTTTTGTGTGGGCATATTTTTTCTACGATTTGAGTTTTTCATTAAACTTTTACAATATTTTTATTAATTTCTTTAGTAAACTTATTTTAAGTTGATTTAAGATTCAACTACTTTGTTGTAGAGTAAGTAACGTGCGTTATTTTATTAGCTAACATTTACAGTGTGGTTTGAATAGTCAACATATATATTGATTTTAGTATACAGTGTTTTTATAATGTATTTTTTTATTTCTTTTAGATGACTTACTTGCAACAAATTAGTGATTTTTACAGTGTTGTCAAATATATTGATTTTCACTTAAAATTTCATTAAAAATTATTTTGTTTAAAAAGATTTTAAACGTATTACAATAATATATTTGAACAGCAAAATTTTAAATAAATAATTTTTTTTTTAGTTTTTTAGTAATTTTTTGACAGTTAACAATTAAGATTTCGGAATAAAACCTGATTGAAATATTTTATTTGAAAATAACTTATGAAAATTTAATAGTGAACATTTAAAAAAATTTAAGTTTAATATGTAAGTGTTTAGTATTTTAGCTTTATTGGAATACTTTTACTTTTTAAAGAATTTTTTAATTTTTAATAATATATATATTTGTTTTGTATTCTTTTTTATTATATATATATTTTTTTAAATATTTCACTTTCAATTTAAATATAATTTTTGTTTACTCTTTTACTTACAATTTAATATTTTTGTATTAATTTTTTTTGTGTATTCGTAATTATTTAATGTTATGTACTGTATTTTACGTGCTTGTAAGAATGAATACATTTTTATTTCTTTATATTTATTTTTTTTTGTTTGTTTTTGCATAGGAATAAGTAGTTTGTCTCATTTTCGTTTCGTTTGTTGAGCTGCCTTCATTTTCACTTCCTCTTTCTATATAACACCTTTTTCTTATAATAAATTCCAGCTTTTATACATACATCATTCTATATTTTATATACACAATTTTATACACATACACTGCAGTTATCTTTGTGGTAGCCATACATTATACAATTTTTTTTTAATATTTCGAAAATAAAATTTGCTCAGTGTATTTTCTAGCTTACTAAGTAAACGTGTATTTTGTTTATTTTTAACATTTCTTTGTTGATATAACTGTGTATACTCTGTTTTCTATGAGCTACTAAATAGCATTGAGTACAACAATATTTTTCACAGTGTAGTCGTTATTTAAGAAACATTTTGTTTTTCTAAAGACATTTTTATAGTTGAGTAGTAGTTACATTATTCAACATTTTTTTTGGTAATTTCTTTGTTTTTATTTCCTTTGCTTGTTGGTAATTTTTGTTTGCTCACTACTTTCTAATTTAAGGTACTTATAACTCCATTTATTCAAAGTGGTCTCTTGACTGGATACATGGTATTTAGTTTGCGGTGAGTTCTTTTGTGATTTGTTGTGATGTATGGCTTTGTACGCATTGCATTGATATGTATTTAGCTCCATTTTTTAATTTTAAGAACTATGCATTTGAATTATGTTTCTTTTTGAAAACGTTAGTTTAAAATTACTATCTTTTTGCTACCTGCTGTTTGCGACGTTGAGAAATTCTAAAGCATTTTGTCGTATTCTCTTCATCTCCACATGGTTGGTGTGTCCTCTTCATTATAGTTATTATTTTTTTTTTTTATAAAAATATACAGTTTTCAGCTTTCAATGTATTTCGCCTAATACGTTCTCTCACCTAAGCTTCTTAACTACTTTAAATATTTTTATTTTGTTGCATGACCATATCGATATATCTATTGTTTACTATAGCTATTCACCAATTTCAAAGCTTTTGTTGTTCCACAATGTAATAATAAGCACTCTGTGTTCGATTTTCTCTTGTTTCCAATATTTCATAGTGTAAATTGTCTAATACTATAAATTTTACCTGTTCGTGTCTGCTGATATGTTTCGTTAGTATTAATATTTAAACATTTTCACTTCGGAGTGATCGATACTGTTGTGATGACTTTTATGGAGACGACAGTTAGTTTCTTTCAAACCAATATAAATAAAATTACCTTTGGTTGTTACGAATTTATATAAAAACTGTAGATAAATCTTTTATTTAATTAAATTAGTTAACAAGTTGGAATATTTAAAAAAAATATTATTTAAAACTAAAAAATAATTTTCGAAAACTCCTCCTCATTGTCAAAAACATTAATAAATTCCTAGTAATTCCATCAGCTAGAAAATTAAAAAATAGCATTTTAAACTAAAAAAAGTATATATATTTTTAAAAATTAATTAATTTCTGTACATTTGGAATCATGTTTTTAGTATACCATTTTATGACACTTACGGCTGATTTTTAGTCGTAAATCTATATTATAGTGTTCGACTTGCCTTTACTTTCAATAAGCTGTTTAGCTGATTTTAGAAAGTTGTAAACACAAAGTAACTTATAAAAGTTACCAAGAAAGCGACTTTAAAGACCAAGAAAGCGACTCGTTAGCTTAAACTTTTCAGCAAAACCACTCACTTTGCAGCAAAACTGGCCTTAAATATCTAAGAGCTGGCAGTTGAATGAATTAAGTATCAAAATTTGATATCAAATTGCTATTAAAGTTCACCATTGACATTCTATATGACGAATACTTCAGCTCAAATTAAAACGGCATTACTAAGGACCACTAGGTAGAGAAGAAATATCGCTTCAAAGAAATGTGTATTAAAAATAATAAAATGTACGTTAAAACAATAGTATTTAACAAAAAAGTAACTTAAATAAAAAATATATACAAAATAAGTTTTGAATTAAATAAAAATGAGAAATAATTATTTCTGGTAAAAAAAATGGTAATATTAACAACTTTTGATTAAAAGAAAATCATTTAACATATTTATATCTTTGCAAAAAAATATATTTATTATATAATATATTAAAATATTTTTTTTTTTGTTTTGATTTTAGAGGACTTCAAACTGTCGAGTTTCCATAAAACTCAACGGAGGTTTAGTTTGGGTCAGATATTTGTTAACGGCATCAAACACTCCTTCAGCGAAAGCCTAGTAAATGTTTTTTCTTTTTTTTTTTATATTACATATATTATAATTTTTTTATAAGAAAAAGAACGCATCCATAACGCAAAACTGAAAATCGATAAAGAACAGCCATTACTTACTAAGAAATAAAAATTAGCGCTGAAAAATTTAAATTTCCTTTATATAACGAACCATGAACCGTTAACTACGATATGAAATAATTTCACGTACAACTGCACATATGTATGTATGTGTATTATATATGCATATGTAAACATGCAGTATATACATGCTTTGTAATATATACATATCTAAAAGCACAAAGCTGTGTAGTCGGCTTACGTAACCGCTGAACTGTCACTCAAGTGTCAAATTTTTCGACTTCTACCGCTTTTTCGCGTACGTTACGTTTGCTTTCGCATTTACTGCAAGTATTTCAAGCGTGGTTATGTGAACGCATACTAAACTACATATGTTGTAATTTGTGTTTTTTGTGATCTTTTTGTCAAATCAGGGATGTTTTTCTACGTCTTACGTAGGACTTAAGTTTTCAAATAACATACTTGTATGCATACATACATATAGCAATATTTTCTAGATTTATTTTCAATATTTTTTTGTTATTTTCTGCTGAGTTCCCATAGATACGCGCACTAATCGCTGTTGAAAGCATATTAAAATACCATTATGCTTTGTGAAGCAAAAAAAAGTATATTTTCTATACTAAATTTGATATGTATGTGTGTGTTTTATTAAGAAATATTTTTTTGTAAACTTATTTTCTTTATTTTAATACTCTTTCATTTCGAAAACCGGGTTTTTAAATAGCTGCAGGGCTTGCTAGGGTTGTTTTTGTTTTTTTTTAATATGTTTTTCTTCTAAAACTACTTTTTTATAATTTTGAATACATGCAGATACATGAGATATGTTATAGTTGACCATAAATTCAGTTAGTATACTTTACTGGCTTATAATGTCTAGTCCACCCTACCTTAGAGCGGGTTTTTTGCACAAAAAATTTTTTTTTTAATTTACAACTATGCGTTTATTAATTAAAAAAAAAAAAGTTGAAAGATATTTTCGTATTTGTTAGTGTTTGTTTTTCTTTAGCTGGAAGGTATATACTGATAGCCATTGTGAGATACATACATACTAATTGTACTGCGGCATTAGTCATGCTCATAAGTGAATGAAGAGAATTTTTAAAATTTTTTTTACAATATTTTTTTGTTGTAATTTTTGTATTTTTTATAATTTTTTTTTTCTGGTACAACAGTTGCTTTATTTATATATATATATTTTGTTTTGCATTTTTAGTTGCACACTTTGTTTATTTTGTTTGTTCTTAGTTTTCGAAAACTCTCAAAAATTTCTTATTTCATTTATAAGTTTTTTTGCAGCATTGCCTGTGTTTTGCACTCTTCTACTTTTCAACATACACATTGCATTTTGGTTACGCTATATAGTTTTTTTTTACATAGAAATTTCTCAATTTTTTCGCATTTTGTTTTTTTATAATCACCATTTGATTTTTGATTTTTCATTGTTTATATCGATCCTGCTTCCACATTTTATTATTTTATGATTGAATTGGAATGTACACATTGAGATATCACTGAAAACCATTGACTATTTCATACTTTTGTTAGTTGTTGTTATTTATAATGTACACTATTCTTTTCTCAAAAATTTCAGTTTTCAAAATAGCGCATTGACTTGATGTCGAAAAGAAAGCAACGTTATAGTTAGTGAGTAAAGCAAAAAGTGCGCAAAGTAAGGATACAAACAAAGCGTAGTTAGTAGCAGTAAAACCAGTTACAATATTTTGTTTGTTGTAATTTGTATTTGCTCATGCAATCCCCGAAAGTATGCAATACCTGCATAAACGCCTCAACTACTAACACTATACCTATATATTCTCGCGTTTGCTTGGAACTATGCAATTTTCGCATTTTATTTCTACTTCTTCGCCGCTTTTACACCTACGCAACGCTTTCTAACTTTATTTTATTTCAGTTAATTTTTTTTAAACACAATCGATTTTTTTGTTCTCATATAATTTTTTGCAATTTTTTTGTGGTTTTTACTATAATTTTTTTTTGTATAAAAATTTGCAAACACACGTCAAAATTAAATTTTGGTAATTAAACGATATTCCAAAATAAAAAATATTGTTTTAGAAAATGGAAAGAAACTTGAAGATTTCACTGTAATTTGTTCCTTCACTTTGAGATTTGAGAAAGAATTATGTTCCAACTGCTTTTTTCATGTGTTTTTTGCTATTTTTGTTATATCACTGCATCAATGAATCTGCGTTTGTATTTGTTGTGGTTGGTGTGTATGTCTGCTTGTGTATGTGTGTGCTTTTTATTCGTAAATCAGGCATCTCCCTATTTCAACTACGTCGACCGAATACGTGTTCGTATTTAGTAGTTGTAGTTGTCATAAGGTGTGCCCAAGTACGAGTAAAAATTAGGGTTGATGGGTTGTGCGTGTGCATAATAAAATCCAGAAGCGGGATCTGGCGCCACTCAGTCTAGAAAGCCGGTGTTGACTAATTTCTCCAAAAAGAACTTCACATCGCCAAGTTCGGAATCTTTAATGCCGAGTGACTTCAACATGCCGAGATCGCCATTTTCAACAGCCATAAAAACGGATCGTAAGTGCTCCAAGTCGGATCTGAAATTAAATAAATAATGCGTTAATAATACCTACAATATAAATAGAGTATATAAATAAATTTAGACGTGCATGTCGGTCACGGCTTTCAATTCGGAATGTCGCTCTTTGGAATACATTCTTAAATTTGTAGAAAGCTATATTTCTAAGACAAAACGATTCCCATACAAGTGAACGAAGCTTAGAATTAATATTGGGTAAAGGAACTTCAAACTGTGCCATAGAAGTATAGAATATTTAACCTTGCTTTGAGGGCTTTAGCCTTTGCTCCTCTAGTTGCATCCAAAGAACCAAAGCTTAAGATTATCTATTAGCTTAACTATAGACGACCTTATTGGGACTAAAATTAGACCACGAGAACCAAAAACTCCGATGACGTTGATTAGTGATCACACGATGACGAATATAAAAAGAAGAACTCCATTATATATATAATAACAGAAACCTCTCAGAATCGATAAAAAACCATTATACAATATAAGTAATTGCTGAAAAACTGACAAAAGACGAGCATAAATCTGTTCAAGTTTAATCAATTGCTGATGGCAATAATTTCAAAGGATAAGCAATATGCTCTTCTAAAATTACTTTTTAAATCTTTAGAGAGTAAAAAAGAGATTATAGGTTTTAGTTAGAACTCTGTTCTACAACAACTAAAAGATCGTGGATTAAAGCTCCAAGAATGCACTATCTTGCGAAGGAACCCTAACTTTTGTATAGCTGCATAACACTTGGGCTGAAACTTCGCGCAAAGAAAACACGTTTGCTTTTTTTTTTGTTCAAGATTGGCTTTATTCGTCAATATAATCTCCATTAAGAGCAACACAGTCATTCTGTCTGCGAACAACCAATAGTAGCTGGGAGTCGAATCTGGAGAATAAGGTGGATACGGCAGTAATTCAAAGTGCAATATGATAGTCACTATTGATGGTTTTTCTCTTCTCAAATACCAAGGCTATAACCTTTCCAGCTGATTGTTGTGCTTTCATGCGCCTTGGGCGAGGTCACCAGCTGCTGTCCACTCAGATGATGATCGTTTTGAATCCGGAGTGAAGTAATGGATCTAACTTTCATCCATTGTCACACATCGACGCAAAAATTCTGGTTTTTTATGATTAAACATGGTCAAACACTGCTCAGAATCATCAATACGTTGCTGTTTTTGTGCAACAGTCGGCAAACACGGCACCCACTTTAAACAGGGCTTTCTAATGGACAATTGCTCATGCAATATAAAAAATTGTGTATTTTTATTGTTTTCTGGTGTTAGAGCCTCATTTGCACGCCCACTGTGTATCGCATCATTGGAGTCTACACGACCACGTTTGAAGTCAGCAAACCAACGTTTTATTGTGATTTCTGGCTGGTAGTCACACAATCGTACTTTCATAATTGGTTAAACTAGCCATCCGGTGTCGCCTAACAGCACCGAAAAGTTTTTTTACTAGAAAACAGATTTGTTACAAAACATTCTTAAACTTTGTTTTTTGTGTATCCACTCAACAGTTATAACATTTGACAATACGAAAGAGTGCTTCGCATTATTTAAAAATGGAGAAAAATAAAAGCACGGAGAATATAAATTGCTTTGATTTAAGAAAGATTAAGAGAAATACAATGAAACGTAAAAACAATGAATTAGTCAAGAAGTGGAGAACTGGAAGCAGGAAGAAAAAAAAAGTTTGGGAAATATGAAAAATTTACAAAGAAAGTGTAAAGCGAAAAAAAATTTGTGAAAACTTCTGATAACAAATTCGTTTAAAAATTCGTAAAGAAAGTTGTTGAGAGAACAACAAGCAACAGAGTCAAAATATTTCAAAAAGTATTCACAAAGTTTGCAAATCTTTCACGTGAAAGAAACACAAACCGGGCGTCATGGGAGTTTTGAGGAAATAATTAAGAATTAAATGAAAGAATATACGCATGAGATATTTAGGCAAGATATCGCGTATGCTTTTTCAAGTAAGGATGAGGTCGTTGGCTAGGATTGATGATGAAATACTCGCATTGTATGTTATATAGATAACTTTCCTATCTTGGTGACAATTAAAGCACTGAATATAATATCGATCTTGGAATTCTACATAAACTAAACACTTTTGATTTGGACTTGGCTAGGTGCCTGTATGAAGTTTTTTATCATGTCCACTTTAACAGAAAGTTAAGTTTGAACCATGACAACAAGAAAGTTTCTGGGAAAAAATTATGGTTCTTTACGCAATGAATCACAAGAAAAAGGATGAAGCTGAACGGCTTCAGCGATTTTCTGGCTAAAACAAATTATTCAAATGGATATAGTAGCCCTTTCATTATCGTACTAACTAGATATTTTTACAAGAAATGGGTGTAAAGAAAATTGCAAAGTCTTAACTTTAATAGGATGCCACGTGGAACGCATTTATCAGCATATGATTATGACTTAAAAAAGTCTCTCTATAAAATTGGAATAAAAATTACGGATATTGCTGTTAGAGTTGGTCATCATAGGAATACTATAATATCACTAACTTCCTCAAAAACCTCGTTTCTTATATGAAAACGAAAAGGTATGGCAGAACAACCAATATTGGGGAACGATATAGCAATGAAATAAAGCGGCTTACTGTAGAAAGAGAAATACCCTGCAAGAAGGCTAAGCATCATTTAATAGTTATTATCACTAGGAATCGTCTCAGTCAACTTTTGGTTGATAATAAAGTCATTAATAGTAGCAGAGAGTCTTTTCAGGAGTTACTTTCCTCGACATCGTCCGTCTGGCATTTGCGGAAAAATATAAATTTAATGCTATTAAATTCCCAAATTTGGTTTTCTGTGACGAACACAAATATTTGGATGCTCAGGATAGCTCTCATGAGTACTGGCGAGATTTAATACAACCAAGGTTGGGAAATCAAAAATACGTTTCCTTACCTTGCTTATCTGCGTAGACAAGCGACTTCACATAACCTTACAAAAAATAGTTCAATGCGCTAACCAAAAGTTTCCTTCCATAAATTAATTGTTTCCGGCTTTATTTTGAAAGACATATTGAGCAATAATATCTTTTGCCCATAGTTCACACCAAACAGTCACCTTTTAAAGACATAACGACCTTTCAACAAGGGTTTGTGGATTACCATCACTCCAAATAAGACAATTCCAGCATTCAAGCAAAAGCGAGTTTCATCGCAGAACAAAATTTTATTGTGAAAATCGGGATCGGTAGTCATCTCGCTTTGGGGACATTCACGGAGTGTGCGACACGCATGATGGCCGTTTGGCTTGAAATCTTACACGCGTTAGATTTTGAAAGCCAGCAAAGTGGATGGTCACAGCTGCAATTGTTGCATGCGATGGCGCAGTGACTCATTAAGATCTTCTTCAGCTTCACATCAGCAATAGCGTTTTGATGCGCACTAAACGGCATCTCTGAGGATGCGCATTATCGACTACAGTCAACTTGATGCGAAACCGACGCATGCTGGGGGGGAATTACGGATGTGGTATAACGTATAATACATTATCGGGAACTTTTAAACTAATTTAACAAGTGGATTCTACCTATCAAGAATCATCATCGGTCGCAACGTTGATACATTTACAAAAGCGAAGACATCGAACATTTTAGTAAGTTCTATTCATAAACTGTTTCTTATTGGGTTGCACTGAATTTTGGTTTTCGGTTTTAATAGATTTAGGTGAGATTTTACTATCTACCGGGTATAAAGGACCAAAATAGCAAAATATTGCGAAAGCTAATGATTTTTGCGAAAGGTTTTGTGGTGATATCGATAAGACCTTATTTTGAAATATAATATATAGTGAAAATTGGCAAAAATATATTTTGTTTTAAAAACATATTTGTTTTTTGTTATTTTATATACATATTTTATATATTATAAACATATTTACATTAAGGTGCTGTATGTGGCGCATATGTGTGCGTTTATTTATTCGAAGCTTCACATATGTCTAATTTTAACCTTCTTGCATAACATTTGGGTTCTCCTGGATTTGCAATGTTGTTTTGCTCTTAATTAATCCCAGCAGGCGTATTTGCTAGTTCGCCTGAAGCTTTCGCAGAGATCGACATACAAGCAAGAACAAGAACTACAATCACACAGTTAAGATGCTAAAATAGGATAAGCATATGCGAAGGCGCTGAAACACGCAGTTACTTGTATTTTGTGTGTGTGTGTGGACATTTGCTCCATTTTGTAACTTGTCCGATACTGCGTTCTCATTTATGGTTTATCGGCTTACACACATACTCGCACTTTTGTTAGTTTGCTAACGCACTAACCTCATTTTATTTTGCATTAATTCTAGCGCTGCCCCACTTCTTGTCCGATGTTTCTCTGGTGGCCTGTTTTTCTTTGCATTCCTTGTTGTTAAGGTCAGTACTAGCATTCACCGCGGGTTATACTGTGATAAAGTTATGTCTCGTATAAAGCTGGCGGACATACATACGATCATCAATCATACTCATTATATATGTATAACTGAGAATATGCTTCTGAATGTACGAGTATGTACTTCTTCGAAAATATTTTTACCACTACATAGCCACACACTCACACCAGAAAAAGACGTTTGTGCGCCTTGAGGGCTTTTTTGTTTCTATGGCCACAATTTGCAGCTCATCAAACTTGTCTCGCATATTTTCCCAAAAATTTCCCATTGCTTAATTTCATTGCGTATTTTTATGCGCTCTGTCATCATAACTTTTGCACTTATTTTTACTTTTAGACTGATTTAGCCAATCGACTCAATGGGACGTAAGTTTGTCATTTTATTTCACTCACATTTATTTCTTTTCGTGAATACTGATCTTACCATAAGGCTGGGAAGAGAGGACAAGTGGTGAATTCGTCATCAAAATTTGCTGGTATGGGTCTAATATAATCAAGTCATTGGTAGCACACAACTAGCTTGAAACATCTTCATAAAACCTTAATAATGAGCTACAAAGTAGAAGAGAAAACCCCAAATAGGTGTAATAGCCGACTTCGATTCGCTAT